TAAATGCAAAACACACAGTTAAAGCAATAAACACATATGTCATTTCAGTACTCACATACTCTTTTGGAGTTATACATTGGACACACACAATCTCGAGCAACTCCAAAAGAAAACAACAACAACACTTACTAAGCATAGACAACATCATCCTAAATCTGCCACAGAAAGATTAACCCTTCCACGTAAAGATGGCAGACGTGGCCTGATTGACATAGTTAACCTTCACTACAAACAAATACAGTCACTGCGAGAGTTTTTCTACAGGAAACAAGAAACATCACAATTACATAAAGCAGTAACTCTAGCAGATTCAAATAGCACACCATTAAACTTACACTCACATCATACAGATGTGGGAGTTTGGAATGTAAGAGACAAGGTATTCCAACAAATTTCAATAAACGAACAGTTTATTACAAACAGAATTAACAACCAAGATACTGATGCCCCTCAGAGATGAAACTACATAAATAGATACAATCGGTCTCTGCTCTCGTTCAGGTTCTTACAGGAATTTACTATCGAGTGATCGTATTCTAAAAACTAACTTATAACTAACTTAACCTAATACTACACTAGTAAGAAAAAAGAAGAAGGAGGGGAAAGAGGTCTACTGGTAGCTAGCATAGGGGTCCTGATCGGGGTGGTCGATAACTATAGGGATTTTATCAGTCGACATCGGATTATATACCATTCCTTGTATGGTAGTCTTCACTGGGATTTATGTATATATTCGGCTCTCATCGGAACAAGTCCCTGGTCCTTTTCTGGACTCCTCTCCACTTGGTCCTCTCGGCCTTTTTCTTTGTCGACGAGTTCCAACGAACGATATCGACGATTCGTCCTATACCTCTTCTCTTGGTGTCCAAAGCCAAACTGTCCTTTTCTCACCCCTTTGTCTACACTCACCAACCCCACGGGCAAGACCCCTCCCTGTCTTCGTTGGCAAAACCACCAATCAGGACCCACGAAGTTCCCGCTTCTGTCGGGTGACCGGAAATGGTTATTAGTGGAAAGGAAAAGAAGGAAAGGAAAGAACAAAAGAATTCTAAATATAAATACTATAGCTATTCATACAAAATGGCAGACAGCCACATATACATATACAAAATGGCAGACAGCCACACAGATATGACACAACACATAAAAAGCATAGACACCATCAAGCAATCATGGGCTCAAAAGGCACTCCATGGCAGGCATCCTTACGACCTGACCCAGGATTTTGTTGACAAAACTGCGTCAAACAGCTGGTTAGATCAAAGATGCCTCTTTGGGGAGACAGAAGGATTCATGATTGCCATACAGGATCAGGTCATAAATACTAAAAACTACAGAAAACATATACTCAAAGATACAACACTCACAAATGACACATGCAGAAAATGTCACTTCTGGGTGCAAGCTCTTGGCACAGACAGATTATTTACACAGACATAATCAAGTAGCAAATATAATACACCAAGAGCTTGCAAAGAAACACAACTTGGTAGACATTCACAAACCATACTACAAGTATATTCCACAGACAGTATTGGAAAACTACATGCACAAAATGTACTATGACAGAGAACACAACAGACCAGACATCACACTCATTGACAAACACAATAAAATCACATACATTATAGACATAGCCATTCCAAACACTTACAGTGTACAAAACACATGCACTGAAAAAATTAGCAAGAACACAGAACTCGCCCAGGAAATAAAGCATCTGTGGAGAATGGATAGGGTGCTCATTGTACCTGTTGTTCTCTCCTGTATAGGTGTGATACCACACACACTACACAAAAGCCTGGGAATATTACAATTGAATAGAAATATATACATCACACTGCAGAAGGCCACTATATTGAATACATGCCGCATTGTTAGGAAATTCCTGAATACAGACACTGACACACTTATTTAATTTTTGTTTTTGGTTGCTATGCCTTGACTCTGGTACTGGCATAGTACCGGTGTGAACCAAGTATAACCCACTAAACGCAACATAATAATAATAGATTTCATATTTTGACACCAAATGTTATTGGTGTCAAAATATGATTCAGTTATATGTATGATGATATACAATTTGTAATAAAGCATTTCCTTAAAATCCAGAAACTAGCAATGCCATTTTAAAAATAACTAGTCATATTTCAAATAAACAGTGTAGAAAGAATGTATGGTAATTAGAATTTAAATGCAAAAGTTTTTGGAAATATTGGTGACAGTTTTATTTTTCAAATAAATTAAAATTAATCAAAAAGTTTAACAAAGTCACCAATTAGACTGTAAAGTGTAATTAAACTAAAATTCAAAAAATTTATCTAAAAAAATTAGATTTTAATGCCTACTTTTATAAATTAAATTAAAATTTTTTTAATAACTACAAAATACATTTAAAACAATTTCAAGAAAAAAATCTACACACACAAGTTATATTTAATTTAAAGTAAATTAAAGTTCAAAAGTTTGAGTCTCTAAATTAAATCAATGAAGATAATAGAAGAAAGTTTATTAGCTTCTCAATTTTATAAAATTAAGAAGCTAATGAACTATTATAAATTATCTTTATTAAACAATTTGTCTACCATATTTTTTTTAACAAAGTTTTTATCATATAATAAACATATTTTAAACATTAATCCAAAAAAAGTATATTTTTACTCATTTTCAAAATTGTAATTTTTCCAATTAATAAAAAGTGTATTTTTATACACATAATAAATATAAATGTTAAAATGCAAACATACAGTTTTTTTATTGGCATCTAAATTTGTTTCAATCATTTGTTTGATAAACTGTTTTATAATTTTGGTTCTGATGATAAAAATAATGCTAATTTTTACCTTTCTGTCAATGGTGTTATAACAATCTGACTGTAATTGCCAAGATATTCATACTGATAATCAAATATTGCATTTACTTGCTTAACTATGCAAGCATTGTTTTCTTTCTCATAATAGAATCGTGACTGACTCAACCATTCAAATCCCTGTGGACTTTTACAACCAGTCTTCAATAATTTTTCAATAATGTCTCTTGCATATACTTCCACAGTTAATAAATTTATTGTCTTTTCTTTTATTAAATTGCTTGTTGATGTCTTTAAAACCGTTATCAGATTATCTAATAACTTAACCTGAAATTTGAAAAATATTCTTGATATAATACATTTCATACCAAATCTAATTAAAAAAAAATAAAAAAATAACACTTCAGTTAGGCAATAAAAGCTATATAATTATTAAAGAATTAAGTAAAAAATTATAAATACATATTCAAGCATTTTCATTATTTTTAATAAACAACATTGTCAAGAATCAATCTTTTTGTAAAAAATAAAAAAAAATTAGAAATATCAACAAAGACATTGTAATAAAGTAATCTGTACAATTGCATACAACAATGAAATTATGTCCATCATAATGAGTTCTATGAATAATAAGTGTTAAATTTCTAGCTCAACTTATAAATGAAAAATAAGCTTATTCATTCAAGCTAAAGAAATTCTAAGAAAGAGATCATGTCACTTAGGTTGCATATTAAAACTACAAGAGAAAACTGTTAACATCCATAAAAGAGTGACAATACTGTGAGGAACTATTGAGACTAGTAAACAAGAGAGAACTCTGAACGCCCTTGGTAGACCACTAGCCTGAGAGGACTGCTAGTTCTCTGATAAGCATGCACGCACACACCCAACTGTGTCATTGTCTACCATCTGGACATAGATGGAGTCGTCGTCATCATTACAGGCTCCTGTCTCTGTCAATACCATTTTGAGGAGCCTGGGTGAGGAACATTTGGTATAACAGCAGACATTACATGTGCTGCCATTGACAGTCACCACCATCATCTCCATTTGGAATGGTGTTGCTCCTGATGGATTGGACCACAATGGAATAGAACTGGGCCATCTAGAGTCATAAATCCAGATTCAGTTTGGGCACTGATGGCTGTAATGTTTGTGCATGGAGGTCCCATGGTGAATGCTTCAATCCTGTTTATGCTTTGGAGCAGCACACTAGTAGAGGTGACTAGCTACTGTATGTGTTGGCACATACAATAGCTAGTCACCTCTAGTAGTGATCGAAGGAATGATGAAAAAGCTCAGCAATATGTGACATTCTGCAGCCACATAACAAGGCTCCCAAGAGCCATTTTCTAACAGGACAATGCTCAACTACAAGCGTCACAGGACTGCCTCTGCAAACCACCACCCACATACGCGAGGGTCTTAGACCATCCTGATGAAAGGGAATAAACCCCCTAATTGGTGTGCTTACAGATACCAGACTGGTGTGCTTACAGATACCAGATTATCCTAATACAATATTTTAAATATTCATGATGTTAACTGACACAATCTACTCTTTAAATGGGCTGATAAAGGGTTCTTAGCACTCAAAATGCATTCAGGGTTACAACACTATTAATGTTAATCAAACTAAAATAAAATCAAACTAAAATAATGGTATTTCAAAATGGAGGAAAACATTAAAAATATGATAAATGTTACAAAGGCTATTTTTTAAATAAGGTCTGTTTGTGAATGAGAGTGAGAATGACGCGCGATTGCAGCAGTGTGCATGAGCATCTGCTTTCAGCGTGTTTATATGCCATTTGCAGCTGTATCATCTGTCTGTGTGCTGAACAGTAGAAGTTTATAATGTTTAAGAAAATTGAGTCACCTGCCGACTAAGATACGATCTGTTATTTGATTTCAGCACGAAAGATCATGGTGACTGTCTTTTGGGATGGGAAAGAGACTTTGTTAGTGGATTTTATGTCAACAGGCACAACAATTAATTCTGATGCTTATTGTGACCTTGAGAAAACTCCGCCATGCCATACAAGACAAGTGGCATGGCCTAATGTCTTCCAGTGGCAGATTTCTTTGAAATTAAAATTTTAAAAAGTTTTGAGTGGTATGACAAATGTTTGAACAAAAACGGAAATTATGTAGAAAAGTAGATAAAAGTATGTAGAATATGGGAAAAAATATATGTTAATGATATTTACAGTATTTTTCTTCTTATTAAAAAATGGACCTTATTTAAAAGATAGCCCTCGTATATTTAGAATTGTAATATGTTATATTTTTCAGTCCAATAAATGTTTTCCAAACATTTAAAGTACATTCATAATAAAGTCAGTATTGGTGTGGAAAAAGTAATCAAGATATGTACATCTGAAAATTATAATGCTGGAAAATTACTTGAGGCATTTATGCAGTCAGTGGTGTTATACAGCTTGGAGATATGTAGCTTTGATTTGAGTGATAAAGACAGTAATTTACACATAAATTTTATTAAGTCTTTATTCTTTTATATTGTAAGCCCATACATACAGGACTTCCTTGTACTAATAAATAAATAATCAATAATAAATAAATAACCAATAAATAAATAAATGAAATGTGATGGATTATATGGGCTTGATTTACATTTTCATGAATAAATAACTAATGAGAAATAATAAATTATGCTTATATAATGATAGAAAGTGATGATTAAAAGAAAATATATATATATATATATCACCATTCGAAATGAAAGCAGTTAATGAAAGGTTCAACCTTCCATGGTGCTCAATCATCGATGGGTCCAAANATATTTTTTTAAATATTTTTAAAGATATTTTTTAATAAATATTATATATAAATTTAATTACTTGTTTTTTCTTTAAGTTTCGTATTGTTGACTTTTCTCCTTTCTCCTTTATTGATATTAATGCTCTAGTACATTCTGATGTCCAATGAATTTTAAATGCTAAAATGCATATCTGTCCCGGAAAATTTAATAACCAGTTCTCAAGCTTTTTATTTACATCTTCTAAAGTATTAGTTTGTTGTTCATATAATCGACTAAAACGAACAAGAAGTTTTCGTAAAGTTGTCTGGATTGTTTTTTCAAGATTGCATGCCCAATATTCCAATTTTTCAGTAAAATGAACTGTTTGATGAAAAGAAACATACTCTTCATCAAAACCAAACAGTCCCGAAACTTCAGATGATGACGAACCTGATGCCTAAAATATTTTAAATGTTAAGTATACTTTAATTAAATGAAACAAAAATTAATAAGGATTAACTAGTCACAGTTCTTACTTAATTAAATTAAATTTAACTCACTAACTTTTAACAGCAAGCGAAATGTAAATAATTCTAATGTTTTTGATCTGGTTAACAGACCATCTTCAGGTAAGAACAGTTGAAAGTGAATTCCACTTTCAACTGTTTATGCTTGAAGACAGTTCATTAACCAGATTGAAAACATTAGTGTTATTTAAACTTCACCTATTGTTAAAAATGCATTGATTAATTCAGCTAAAATAAATTTTATATTTCATTTTAAATATGATAAGATATTAAACAAGATGTTTATAAAAAAATAGAAAGTTAAAATTGTAAAACTAAGTATGAAAATAAATTTGCCAAATTTTTAATTATTTTTAAATCACAGAATTGTTATTTATAGCTTGTTTCAGCTTCTGTTAGTTTAATTTTTCCTCATTTATTATCAGATATTAAAGTTTTAATAAAGTAATAATTTTAGAAAATAAAACATTTTTCATTAACAAGTATACATAATCAGCAACTAAGTATAAGATAAAAATTACTTTATACCAATATCCCTTGTATAACATAGTGCTTAGGATCTAAAAACATTCTGCGTAATGCAAATCTGTGCTACCGTGTTTCCCCGAAAATAAGACAGTGTCTTATATTAATTTTTGCTCTGAAAGATGTGCTAGGTCTTATTTTCAGGGAATGTCTTATTTTTTCCACGAAGAATAATTCACATTTATTATTGAACAAAAAAATTCCCAAGTCGAACTTAGACGAGAGTGACATATATCCGGTCGTGTCAAACTAAACTTAAACAGAACCGAACTAAGCTTACGAAGTTCCAGTGCTGGAGTGGACTTCCCACTCTCGCTTCAACTTAACCTTTTTATAGCGTCGACATCAGGCTCGATGACCAATTAGTGCTTACTGAACCATAGCAATATGCAAATGTCATGTGGTGTGATTCCTGGCCGACCAATTAGCCATCACCAGCCGTAACGTTATGCAAATCTGTGATTCCCAGGCCATAGTTTTATGCAAATAATGCCGTCTGATGTGATAATCTGCTGACCAATCAGTGGCTGTACTTTCAAAAAGCCAACGGCCACTTTCAACCATCTGTTGATGACCATTACCAGTAAAAAAAAAACTTTGCTAGGTCTTACTTACTTACAGGGGGAGGCCTTATATTTAACAATTCAGCAAAACCTCTGCTAGGTCTTATTTTCAGAGGATATCTTATTTTCGAGGAAACACGGTATACAAAACAAAGGTCTGGTACAAAACATAGGGTTCGGTTCCAAAACCTGAAAAAGTATATACTATTTTTTTTTTAATTAACAGAAATATATTTATTGAAGCAATCAATAATTAACTAACAATCATAATCAAAAGTATTGCATGTTAATATTAAATATTAATTTTTTCTTCAGTGCTAAACACTGTTAAACAGGAACATTTTCTTTTTGGCAAAATATCTTCTTCTACTGACATTTAATTTAATTAAATAATTCTATTTGTATTTTATATTACAATAAATTTATATAAGTCAAAATATAATTATGCTATTAAGAATAATTTTTATTCAAAAATCTTTGAAAAGAAAATATAGAATAAAGTTAGAAGCAACTATACAGATCACATCTATTCCAATTATATTAAAACTGTTCTTATAATTAATCTTAAAATATTTCTGAAACTAACTTTGATAGAATTAAAACTGTATAACATGAAATAGTCAAACTGAATAAAAATTAGTAAAATAAGCAAAAATCTTATAAACCATATTTATCAAGTTGCAAAATCATCACCAGTAGGATAAAAATTAATTATAATTCTATAAATTAATATATTTTTTAATTATAAAAATTATTAATGAAAATAATTCTTGTTAAATATACTAACTTTTTGAAATTTTAACTTCTTAATAGTATGAAAACATTTTTTAATGTAAAGTTGCAAAATATCTTCATTTTTGGGATCACTTAACATTTCAAATAAATCACTATTGGAGACAAAATAAAAGCGAGGAAAAACATTTCTTTTTGACTCAAGAAATATATTCAAATTATTTTCTAGTGATTCAAATTTTGTAATCATTTCAATAAGAAAATTCAAAAAGTCTGAAATAAAAAAATTTATATGAGTTTATATTTTAAACTAAAGTACAATATTAGCTTAAACTCTCTTTCAATTTTTAGTCAAACCTATCTACATAATTATAATTGAAATGTACAAATTAATTAATTTAAAATAATAAAATTAATTACATGTAAAAATATATATATATAAATTTAAGAAATTTCAAACTTCCTAATTAAAAACAGAAAATATATTAAAACACTTTAATTTTTTTTGGCTAACTATATTGAAGACAATGTCTAGTAAACCATGAGCATGAACATGCACAAAATATGAACAATGTACAGTACAAAATACAATATTTTAAACATTTTGGAACTATAATAATGACTGCATAGTTTATGTTATAAATTAATTCTTTTCAACTGAATAAAATTCCACTTCAATTGTTTTGGATTACATTAATATTTAAGAGATATTAAATAAATGTTTTAGATTTAATCTCATTCCAAGCTTTCATTATTTAATATATTCATTAATTATAACATTTACTATTTAAATTTATTAGTGCAGCAATCAGTAATATCACTAATTTTACTATTGTGTACTTTTTCTTCTTCCTTTGGGGGCTGTCTACTAATTATATATATATATGTATGTATGTATGTATAGATTTAAGCCATTTTTGACCCCCTTTTGCTTCAATCTCCTCTCTCTTTATCAAATATAAATGATGTACAGTACAATACATTTGACAATCCCATGTAATGAATGTATTACTCTTCTGCAAGATCTCTTCTTACTTTCTCTATTTTTCTTTGTCTTTATTTTCTTTCTAGAACTTTTTCTCCCCTTTACTAATCCAGAGAAGAAAGAGTTTAAATTGGAAAAAATAAGATACATCTGTATGTGTATATATATATACATACTGTATATACTTGTATGAATATTATGTATGTATGTATGTATGTATGTATGTATGTATGTATGTATGTATGTATGACAAAAGGAAAAGATGTCTCTTTCTTGTTATTTCTGCTTTGTAAAGAGCAAAGAAACTGAGCAAAAGGAAAATTAAAATTTTTCCTTTTGCTCAGTTTCTTTGCTCTTTACAAGTATATGCATTAGTACTAGAGAACATTACTACTAGATGCTGTGGTGGTACACCAGTATATTTTGTTGTTTTTATTTTTTATATATATGTATATATAAGAATATTCTATTCTCCTTTCTCTTTGTTCTGTTTCTATACTTTCTGGAACTTTCGTCTGAATGTGGGTGGTCGGTGACCCAATTTCGGGACAAAGGAGCGGAAATAGCCCAGAGGGCAAGTGGGGGACGATAAGGACACTTTTTTGGCTTTGGACCGGAGGAGGAAAGACCGTCGGAGAGAGCGGTCTCGAGTTCGGTGTTGCTTCGGCCGGAAGGGTTACGAAGAACACTAAAAAAAGAAGTAGCATTGGAAGAGAAAAAGAACATTGGAAAAGCCGAGATTTAAGAACGAATTTTGGGTCCTCGCATGTGCTCCGTCCCCATAGAAGAAAAGAATTCCAAGACGAAAATCATCTTGTGGCCACCACCTCAGTCAACCATTCGGGTACCCGTTCCTTACTAGGAATTTCCATTCTTATTCTCCCATTCTATTCTAATTCCTGTTCTTCCTTTCCTCTTCTAGTTATAAGTAGTTTTAAGTTAGTGATTAAGTGTCTCCTTTGTTACGCGAACGAAGAGTTTAGCTCCGCTGTAAATTAAAAGTCGGTGTTGTTTGTTCCCTTTTGTTTAATTAAAGTGAGGAACAAGGAGGTCGGAATCAATGAACCTTTCCTGTATATATGTTCATACAGTAAAATAAAGCACGTCTTATTGTTTTATATTCTTGTCTCTTTGTGAGAACTCATTCATCACCACGTGCTCACCACAATGCAGAAGTATATGCATTCCTACTAGAGATGCCGTGAATATTCGGCTACTATTCAATATTCGGCCTATTTGGCTACTTTTTTTAATATTCGGTATTCGACCAAATGTTGCATACTATTCGGCCATATACTGAATACCAAATCATAAAAAAAAAAAAAAAATACACATATTACTCAAAAACGTATTTATTTTAATCACAAATTATTACATTTAATACTTAAAATCTATCAGTGGTAAGTTGTGATGAACAAAAACAATTTTCTCAGCATTTGTTGATCGCAAACGATTGCACTTTTCCTCATAAACTATACCTGCTTCTGAAAATAACCTCTCACTATATACACTACTGTTGGGAGAGGATAGATAAATCTTAGTGAATTCTGTCAGGCTTGGATACTGTTTTGCGTTTGCTGACCACCACTTGTAAAGGTCTGCCATTCAATGTAGGCGAATAGTTTTCATATAAAGTGATACAAACAGTGATTTTTTTTTAGTAATAAGGACTATTAGTAACACAATTTGATGTAACAATGAACAAATAATGCATGTCGTGACACAATCTACTCGCAAATAAAACAAATGCACCCGTCGTGTCGCTACCACACCCTCTGCAATGAGACAGGTTGTAACCTGTCACCCGCAAAATGTACACATATTTTGCCGAACATTCGACCGCCAAATAATCAGTGCTTTGGCCGAGAGTGTAGTCGAATATTCAGTATTCAGCAAAATCACTATTTGTGGCATCACTAATTCCTACAATGTGCAAAGAACAGAATAAGATCAAGAGTCAGAGAAAAATGTTGGAAGCAGCAATATAAGAGAACAAGTTGAAAGTTACAAAATACAGTAGACCCCCCTATAATGCGTAGATACATTCCACATTATACGAATTTCACGTTGTAAAAATCCTTAAATACATGAGCCAATTGCAGTCCAACACATGTGCAGTTTACGGAATATGGCTGTTTGAAAGGTTTTCTTCCATAAAATTAATCAATTCTAGCCTAATTTGACTCAACATTTCCAAAAGACGTATAATTTTTTGGGAATAATCCATATAAACTATGCTATAAACAAAAATATGTAGGATTACTTACTGAGTGTGCACCGTTTGACGACGCCATTGCTTAAGCTTGTTTTCATCGTGGAGCAGTGCACCAAATGGCAGCCGCAATTTCTGATAAGTTATTTTTCTGCGAAAAATTCGTTGAACTTTGGAGACATCATTAATATAAATAATTTTTATGGCCGTTGAATAAGAAATGTTTCTTTCACAAGAAATGTATAAAATTACAGTACTGTATTAGACTTACGATACCTAATTTACATACTGTACAGACAATAGTAAACTCAACTTACTTGCCTAAACTCTCTGTAGCGTGTAAGTAGTTCAACTGCTCATCTACTATTGGTCCAGATTCGACCAATCCTGATGCGACATGAGTCAGCTGACTCATGTCGCATCATGTCGTGATGAGTCAGCTGACATGAGTCAGATGACTCATGTCAGCTGACTCATGTCGCGACATGAGTCAGCGACGACGTTTTACGAGTCCCTTTTAGCATCTTTATATGAATACTGTCACAATTTTTTCGCCATATTATAGGAATCTCTGTTATAGGAACCCACGTTATAGGGGGGTCTACTGTGAAGCTCCGAAAGTAGGTCGAAATTCATGTACAGAAAATGTTTTAATTTCGTATGAAAAAAAGTTTTACAATTATTAATCTTATTGTAAAAAGAAACCGTCAAACGCAAAATGAATATTTTATGTCCATATAAGGACATATCTATAAAAATTTCTAAGAAAGTCGGACTACTCAGGTTAAAACAATGGATGAATTTGAGTACATAGATCAAATGTCTTCGATAGAAATCAAATTGTCAATCGGAGTTGACTCACCCCGCGATCTGGGCACCGATCTCGTACAATTCGTAATGAGGAGGGGGACCAATTAGAGAGCAGGGGTAGATCATCATTGACCTATTGGAATGTCTGATCTGGGACTCAGAAAAAACTTATAAAAACTGTGCAAAAAAAGGATGTGACGTTCTTGGTTCGTAGTTCTTGGCCTTTGGTTTGCAGTGCACCTCTCTAGGATTCTTGTGATCCAGACATTCTCCCACGAGAACTTGTCATATATTTGGAGGACTTGTCTTCACCCTCCCGTGCCATCAAGATCGCTAAAGTCCACTTTGTAGATAGAGGACCTCGGTTCAAATAGTGTTGTGCATCTGGAGTCGACGTCTTCATGCCTCCATCACCGGAAGAAAAACTATTGCCAGAACAGTTGAACTTTTAGTGTTAAGAACTTGTTGCTCGACTTTGGATAGGTGTTACGCCGTTTTAAGGATTTGTTGTAAGAAAAGTTTTTATATTTATTAAACGGTATACAATGGAGAACCTGTCTCAGTAAGTTTTTTCACTCCCACGCGACAGTCCTGACCGCTTGACTGTCACGACACTTTCTCCCCAATCGGCAAACCTCACACTACTGTATATGCATCTCTTTCTTTGATTTAACTGACCACTTAATGGAATTTCTTTCAAGATTCCATTGAAAATTTAGCCAACTTGGAAAGAATAAACAATGGGAATCTTGAGGTCATCATTACATATTCTTCTTTGTTTTCCTTCATTCATTGACTTTTTTGTTCTGATCTCTTTTCTCTAGTTTAAATATTAGTTTTCAGGTAGTTTAAAGTACCATTATACTAGTCCACTGACAAGTGATGACTGTGTCTCTCATATATCAGACTGAAACTGTATTCTATGCAAAGTTGACTGTACCATACATTCATATTTCATGTAATTATAAAATTATGTTCATTTATATTTTTGTGTCCACTTAATTCTTAATTTTTGTGGTATTAACAATCATATACAGTCTTCACAATTAGGATTTAACTATTATTTAGGTAATGATGGCTCATTCATATTTATTGTTAAATTATTCAAATCATTAAAGTAAGTATTATTTCATAAACCCCATCATTATTCAAAAAAAGCCAAAAAAAATACAACTTTTTGTTAAATAACATACAGATGAAAATAAACAATAAAATTAAATTTTAAATATATTACACTTAATTAAATTTACTCATTTAGATTTGTAT